GCCTGCGCCCCCTCCCCCGCCCGCAAACTCTGCCCTTCCCCCACCTCCGGGCATCGCGCGCGTGTGGGGCGCGACCGAGGCAGCCCTAGGCCTCCCGGCGCTGGGACTGGGCGTACCGGGAGCACGACGGGGTGGGCACGAAGCTGAAGAGGCCCTCGCTGCGAGCACCGGCGCCGAGATAGCTTCCAGAAGTCCGTACTAAGACCCCTGGTGCTGGGCAGTCCTCCACTCACAGGTGGTTGGAAGGAGCTTTGCTTCTCGGGGCGGCACCTTAAAAGTAGTTCTGTTTGATCCGAGGCCTGACGATCACCTCAGATATCGGAGCGCTGAGGGGCAGCGAGCTGGGATTCACATCTGCCTTTCCCTCCTGCCTGATTTTTTTTTTCTTTTCTTACTCACTCCACTACCCTTACTCCACCATTCAAAATGTATAGTGCTGGTAATAGCACAACTACCAGGTAGTCAATGCAAACAATATTTTTTCTGTTACCCTAGTTGATTGTTGAAGAATAGGAGAGAATTGTGTTGATCCTAAAATGACACAGTTTAAAGAAATTTTCGAGGTTATCAGACGCAAACGTGTTGCCCAAATCAACTACATTTCAAATTTCTAACTTGTGCTTGAATACCTTCTATCACCAGGGAAAAGCAACTGATAGTCATTGCTCGTCTAACCAAACGCTGTGATGGGTCGGGGATTTAGTTCAGTGGTTCTGCTGCTGCCTTCACTAAGTGCAAGGTCCTGAGTTCGATCCCTGGTACAAAAAAAAAAAAAAAAAACACTGTAAACTACAATGTGGTACTGGCATGAAGAATAATAAATCAGTGCAGAGTCTAGAAATAGTTACATATAGATAATAAGTCAAGTTTTTAAAAAGTGCTGTGAATTTTGTCTGGTCATGTTCTTTAAAAATTTTTCCATGATTAATAGAATATATTTTTTGGGCTGGGGATTTAGCTCAGTGTTTCCACCTCCTGCCTTGCAAACATAAGGTCCCAAGTTCAATCCCCACTACCAAAAAAAAAAAAAAAAAAAAAAAGAATATATTTTTAACACAAAAGCTCATATCACTTAAATAACTTTGCTTTATTGAGTAGGCATTACAAATAATAATAATGTAATAAAAATCAAATAAAAACTTGTATATAGGCAAGCAAAAGGAAAAAAGGTCATATATATATATATACATATAGATGTATAATATTTCTAAATAACTCAACTATAGAATACAAAATATTTGCTTTCTTAAATTACTATATTGTGAACTTCCTTTATTGTTACCAGATACACTGCTAGCATAATTTTAGTGACTGTATAATACTGGATAGTTTTACAGAGCCAAATCCTCTAATATTAATGGTAATTTGGGTTATTTTTAATTGTTATATACTATAAGCAAAGCTTCAGTGAATACCTTTTCATCTATAACTTTGCATATATCCTTATTTGCTTAGGATATACCCTTAAAACTGGATTTGTTCCATCAAATCCATCAAATCATTGCCTATATCATCCTATGTAGTTTGCCATTATTTTTTCTATTTCATCATTCACTACAAAACTTCATTTTAAAAGGAAATATAGTAACTTTATGATTGAGATAACTAATATACTGTCATAACCATGTAATGAAAGTGAAAATCACCAATTAGGGACAAATCATTTTGGTACATCTACCTATGTGAAACACCAGAAGAACACAGTATATTTTTGCAGTATTCCTGCCCAAAATGCATAATTGATTCTAATCATGAGGAAATATCAGACTGGGTAGTCTATAGTACAATTGAGCTATATTCTTCAAAATGCCATTTTTCAAATTTCAGGAACTGTTCCAGATCCAAGGAGATTAAAGAGGCACTGCTACCTGCCAATACATGGTTTTAGGTTGGAATTTGGACCAGAAGAAAAACATTTGTTAGAAAAAAAAAAAGTTGTATTGAATCCTCAGGAATTTTGTAACTTTGACAATTTGAAGTGTAGATACCTATACACTGGTGTGTATTTGTGTGTGTGTGTGTGTGTGTGTGTGTGTGTGTTGATGTTTGAGAGACAAAATGAGTAAGATAAGTATGATAGGATGTTAATAATTGGGAAACCTGGGTGTAACAGAGTCCCTTTTCCAATCCTTGCAGCTTTAATGTTACTTTTTAAAATTCTTTCTAGGTGTGGGAAAAGACCCCATACCCAGAACAGACACAGTCCAGACCCCAAAAATATGGACTCAAAAACGTGAAGAACAGCAGGAGCAAAACTTTAAATAACAATTCTGTAGAAACAGGTACCTGTGTAAAGGCAGGTACACACAATTCAAATGAACAGTGACCTTTATACCTGCTAGCCTGCAAGGTCCCTTTCCCTGTCAGTGGCAGAAGTTACAAGAGTATAGGGCTAGGGATTTAGCTCAGTGATTTCACCACCTGCCTTGGAAGTGCAAGGTCCTGAGTTCTATCCCAGGTACCAAAAAAGAAAGAGAGAGAAGTTACAGGCAGTTGCCATCTCACTTTCCCCAGTTTCTCAGAAAGCCTCTTCCCCCTTTTCCCCTCCTTTGTGCATTCTTTTTGATTGTAAAACTTTGCTTGCTTAGCCATTATCTAGTTCTTACATCTTATTCTGGGACTTTCTATGTGGGGGTCATCTGCAATATTTCTTTTTTTCTTTTTTCTTTCTTTCTTTTTTTTTTTTTTTTTTTTTTTTTGGTACCAGGGATCGAACTCAGGACCTTGAGCTTGCAAGGCAAACAGTGGAACCACTGAACTAAATCCCCAGCCCTATCTACAGTATTTCTTACAGTAAGGTTCAATTGCCAGCATATAGTAACATCAAAAAAATGCTCAAGTCCAAACCAGACTGCTTGTGTGTATCCCTTGCTTAACTCATTAGCCTCTTCTCTCACTATTCTTTTGACTTGAGAAATACCAAATTGCTCTTGGTTTCTTGAACATAGTGCAATTTCATTCTTTCATGATCTTATTCCTACTGTTCTCTACCTGGAGGCCCTTTCCCCATACTCTTTTTGTTTGTTTGTTTGTTTGTTTTGGTACTGGGGATTGAACTCAGGCCCTTGTGCTTGCATGGCAGCCAGCAGAACCACTGAGCTAAATCCCCAGCCCTTTCCCGTACTCTTTTGATGAAATTACTATTTCTTTAATATCCAGCTCCAACACCATTTGATCCATTGAATTTTTGCTGACCTCCTTGGCTTTAATCAGTGCCTCTTCTTTGCCACCTCTAAATTAAGTGCATCATGCTATTGTTACAGTTAACACCTTTAGCCAATGTTTAATAAGGTTTATGATATCTTAAACTTGGCTTACAGAGTTTTCCATCCCCCCAGCAATGTGTGAAGAATTCAAGCCACATCTCCTAGCAGCAGATACAAAAGGACTACAGATAATAACTGTATCCTCACAGATAATTCATTCTTCTCTCCAGAAAATTATCAGAGACCAGGAGTGATAAACAATGTTATGAGTATGTTATCACATGACAGGAAATTTGATCTCCACACGTGAATCAGTCAGGATCTTCAACATTAGTTCTGTCACATAACCATACATTTAACTAGTCTGCAAGTTCCCAGTTAGCTCCAGAATATACTGTCGTTACACTGTGAAGTCAAAATTCCCATCCCTACCCAGCAGATAGACATTATAGCTGGGAGTAGCATTACAATGATCATTGGCCATCACTACAGAGAAAACAGATTTCCACTAGGAGCATAGAAATCATGACTGGAGCCATGTCTAGAATAGAAGAGATCTTAGTACAGGTGGGAAATGGTACTCATCTCAACACTAGCAAGTCTCAAAAGGACATTGTGTTACAGGTTCATTTAGGCTGTTTTGACTAAATTGATGAGGAATATTTAGAAAAACTATGCAAAGTAGCTAGATAAATTGTCATATTTCTTTAAAAGCTTTTTAAAACATAAGGCTACACAGACTTGTGGTTAGAGTCTTATTACATTAATAATCTTTCACCTCAGAATTGTAGGAAGAAGAAAGAAAGGATTTTATGTGAAAGAAAGTAACACAATCCCTAATCATTTTAAACAAGAGGATTGTATAGATTGATTGAATAAATATTTCAGTTGTCTTTTTGTAACACATGAAATTTTAAGTAAATCTCATTTTGAGGTGTATAATAGAAAACATCAAGTTGAAATCTGAAACATCTGTCTGTATTTTGTTAACAAATTAGAAAATACAACTTTTCAATGAAGTTTCTTCAAGAAAATGTATTGATTAAATTTGGGGATGATTATATATAAATTCTATGTTATGTTCTTCTGAACTTCGGCTACACAAAAGTATATCTCTTTTTCAAGAAGAACAAAAATATCATTGATAGAGAAGATAGGAAAATGTTTTACTGAAAATATTTTGGTGGGGGAATAAAAGATTCATGAAATCTTTCTTTATGTGCTGCCTCTATCACTCAACCTTTGGAAATTTTTTTTTTTTTTTTTTTTTTTTTAGATTGAACTCAGATCCTTGCACTTGCAAGGCAGGCCACACCAACACTAAGCTAAATCCCCGGAAAACCTTTGGAAATTCTAACATTATTCAAAATGCCCAGGACAAGTATACAGAACACATTTTATCGAGGAAATTGTACAAGTTAGTTTTTGTTTGAGCATTTAAATGAAATTAATATTAACATTTTGCTTTTAAATTTTTAAGATCTTACAAACTTTAACAAAACATTTATTTATTAAGATACTGTTGGAGGCCAGGGATTTAGCTCAGTAGTTCCACCGCCTGTCTTTGCAAGCACAAGGTCCCAAGTTGGATCCCTGGCACCAAAAAAAAATCTTGGCAGAATTGTTTATAAAAATGTATTCCTTGAAAATCTTGGATTCTTTTTAATACTGACCACAGTATTTGTACTGTTACTTTTTAATATATTAAAAACATTTTTTAAAAAAAGGAAAGGCAGGCTCATTCTCAAGGTAATTTTTTAAAGGACAGAGTTAATGCTTGACCTGCAGACATTGTGAAAACTATCTGATCTAATTTAATGAAATAGCTTTACCTGATTGAAATGTCTTAATTTTAGCTTGTGTTTTGCAGTGTTGGGCAACAAACCCAAGGCTTCATATATGCCAGGCAGACACTCTATTATTGAGCTACATTGCCAGCTGAAAGTGGTTTTAAATTTAATATCATATATAGACAGTGTAATAAAAAACAAAACAGGGACTGGGATTTAGCTCAGTAATTCCACCACCTGTTTCACAAGCACAAGGACCCAAGTTCAATGCTGGGTACCAAAAAAACAAAAACAAAAACAGTAGGATCATACAAATGCACATTTCAGTATGAACTACCTAGGTCATATCACTGTATGCCTAGATAATGAGCCCCATAGGTTTGTTAGAAAATGGATATGGTTGGGCCAGGGATTTAGCTCAGTGATTCCGCCACCTTCCTCACAAACATAAGGACCAGAATTTGATCCCCAGTACCAAAAAAAAAAAAAAAAAAAAAGGATATGGTAAAGTGTACCCTCAATAATCACTTTTACATAAGAACTGCAATAGAAATAGCACATTTTGCTAAAACCTTTCTAAAATTCAGAATTTCCTTCACCACATTACAGAGATTTCCCATAATATTTTAAATTTTCTTTAAAGAACAGATTATCTCTGCCTGTTTAC